CCATCATTCACCGAGACCTCAAACCAGCAAACATCTTTCTAGACCACAACTTTGTTAGCAAACTCGGAGATGTTGGTCTCTCCACAATGGTTAACCATGACGACGCTGCTTCTAAACTAACAGTCTTGAAGAAAACAAGTCTCGTGGGAACACTATGTTACATGGACCCTGAGTATCAGAGAACCGGGATCATCTCACCTAAGTCAGATGTGTATTCTTTAGGTGTTGTGATTCTGCAGCTGATAACAGCCAAACCCGCGATAACGATTATTCATATGGTGGAAGAAGCTATTGGGAACGATGCTGAGTTTATGGGACTGTTGGATGTGAAAGCTGGTTCTTGGCCTATTAGTGAGACTCGTGAGTTAGCTGCTTTGGGACTGTGTTGTACGGAAATGAGACGCAGAGACAGACCAGACCTTAAAGATCAGATCATTCCGACATTGGAACGGCTTAGGAAAGTAGTTGGCAAAGCTCAAAACTCTCTCTCCAGAACTCTGTCTAGTCCTCCATCTCACTTCATCTGTCCACTTCTCAAGGTTTGCATCATAATCCCTTGTACAACAAGAAACCTAGAATCATAAAGACTTACTTGCTAAACAAGAAATCTTGTTTTTTTCATGATTTAACCTAATATTTTGGTTATAGGGAGTGATGAACGAGCCGTGCGTAGCTTCTGATGGATACACGTACGATCGTGAAGCCATAGAGGACTGGCTTATAGAGAAGGATACGTCGCCGATGACTAACCTTCCGTTTCCTACTAAAAACCTTCTTGCTAATTACACTCTTTACTCAGCAATCATGGAGTGGAAAAAATCAAATAAACTATAGTGTGAGAGAAAATGTGTTTACTATGTTCTTTTGTGTGTGCTTATCTCTGTTTTTCCTTTGTCTCTGTATGCAAGATTACAACAATAGAGATGGAGAGAAAATGTCTTTTTAATTTTGGTCCCCTCTTGCAAATTTTTCATCTACTCAATTTTGAATAAATGCGGATGTAATGGATTATAAATTATTTATTCACATAATTAAAAATATAAATCATAAGACGTACGGTCAATAGTGATTTTTTCTACTAGTATTTTTGCTTTCTTTGTGCTTGATTGCCGTTTGTTCACAACAAAGTTGAAACTCTGAAAACCAAAACTTGAAACCATTCTTGGACAAGAACTTGTTAAGACAAGGGGACAACACATAAAGTTCCATTATTACAGGAACTCTTTAGTACATATTCTGCAACACTTATTCACTACACTAATCCAACATTTTCTTGGCTTCTATACATGATGTGCTTCACAGATACTTATTTACACTAATTAAATTTAAGCATCACTAGTCTCATTAGTTTGATGACGATGATGAATTACTCGTACTTGGTCCTGGAGGCTCCGGTACATCGTTTCTTCTCCTCTTCCGGCAAGTTTATAGATGGAATTTCTCTAATTAGTTATGCAAAATCAAATATTTTATTAAAAATTTATTTAAATTATTAAAGCTTCGCCTTCATGAGATATACATAATCCTAAAATATTTCTACAAGAAGATATAATTTTTCATTAAAAAATTTATTTTCATTTAATTTATCACTTAGGAATAGGAAACACTAAAATAAATAAGCCATATACAATGAATGCATAACCAATTAGAGAAATTTCATTCATAAAATTCAAGGAATATCAAGTAATATAATAAAAGAAAAAAATGAGAAGACTTTTATTTAAAAAATGTCATTCATAAAATTCAATGATTATCTAAGTAATATTATGAGATATTCTTTTAAGACTTTTAATTACATTTGTTAATGTCTAGATACCTTACTCTATTTAAAAGATTAAATTAAATTAATTAAATTTTTTATTACAATAATAATCTTACTTGATTTATAATCCATTTTAGATACTAGAGTAATAAGGTTGTACTTACATATTTTTTTATATATAGTTTATATTGTACGTCTCTAGTAAATACAACCATCAAATAGCAAACAAACACAACATTTTTTAGAAGCCTATTACAATAATGTCATCATCACATCTAGCTATCATGTGTTTCATTATGATTTCTCTCGTTTCTTTATATCAATGTAAGTACAATACATACAACATGTTCCATTTTCAATCCTTTAATCAACATAGACCTTGCAATTATGCATATATTATTCAGTTCTCATTTTTAATCTAATTTTTTCTTATATAGTGGGGAACGCCGAAGGTTTAGAATCCAAGAGAAAGTGCATCAGTTTCCTTCACTGGGTGCCTGCATGTAAAACACCTGGAGTGGCTTGTTTTTGCTGTAACGTCGCACCAGGAAAATCTTTAACATGTTTTGATACGGAAGCCGAGTGTATGGCTCGTTGCCCGAACCCAGCTATTTGAATGGCTTAAAACACTTTTAAGAAATTAAAACATACTTACGTGGATTATCTCAATAAAATTATAAAATATTATAATATAAGGATGTTAATAAATTATTTCTTTGGGTAGTATTTACTTTATAACATAAATATAATTAAGAATACTACAAATTTATGTAAGAGAAAAAAGTAGAATGATGTTTGTCGTTGTGTTCAATACCATTAACAAACTTCGAAATTCATCTTTTCTCTTTTTATCTTTGCAGTTTATCTTCTTGATCTATTTTTTTTGTCTATTTGCAATTTATATTTGATATGTTCTTTTTTTTATGAATATTTTCTTGCTTTCCTTTGCTAGATCGAAGATCATATACCAAACCATAACAGAACAATTCGAAAATCATTGCTTTAAGCTTCTTAATCAGAAAAAAATATATTTAAGTTTTTCTCTCTCTTTCTGAAGCTTCCTCTCTCTTTCATTGAACTTTATGGATAAAATTATCTTATTAGGAACGAAATAGTCAACCGTTAACTGGTTAACGAAAAGATAACGGTTTTCGTCAACTTTTCAACGGTTGACTATTTCGTTCCTAATTTCAAATAGTCAACTATTAGTTGGGGAATAATTCTGTGCAACCAATACTTGAGTATTTAATTTGCCGACTGAAAAATACTTGAGGAATTTAAAACATCAATCTTTTTTAAAAAAAAACTCATAATTTAAGATATTTTCAAGTTACAAGTAATATACGAGATTTTTACTTTTTGAAAAAGACTTTTGAGCTTTTATAGTGATATGTAAATTAATACAAATAGTTATATCTGCATTGTATAGTTAATGTACTTCATGTTTATAAAATCACATATGGATGATTTCCTATCATTTCGGAAATTATATGTAGTAAATTAGATCTCTAGTTTAGACTAGGGATGGCAAAAAAAAATCAACCCGAATCAAACCAAACCAAAACAACTGAACCGAAACCGCTCCAAACTAAACCAAACTGAACCTAGTGAAACCGAACCGAGAAAACAGTGTGATTTTGTTATTTGAACACTAAAGTCACTATTAACTTTATACAATATACTAAAATCTTAACACTAACGATTAACTTTATTAACGCTTTTGTTTTAAATTCTATTTACTTTAGTTAACTTCGGTTTGATTGTGTTCTTATAAAAAATGTGATTTTTCAGATTTTTGTTTCAGTTTTATATTATAATTAATTTACCCAAAATGTGACTTTTCTTAAAAGAACTAAACTAAAGGAAGTCAATTAAACCGAACTGAAGATAAGCTATGTTTTGGATCGGTGTTATAATTAATTTACCCAAAATGTGACTTTTAATTCTATTAACACGAAACTTATGAGTTTATATGGTCGTAAACATGTTGCTTTTTAAGAATAAACGATCTTTGACAATGTTATATGTATTAAACTATTAATGTATACAATTTTTATTCTTTCAATAAAATTATTGTTTTTTTAATAGCATTACCTCCCATAATTTTGCTAAAATCTTAGCAATATGTGGGCGAAAATAGACAGAAAAACAGTATTTTTTTAAAAAATAATTGTTTATTAAAATTTTAATTTTTTTTTATCACTTATCACATGCTTACCCCCCCGTAGGGCGGGTTTTACCCTAGTATTGTATAAAGTTAATAGTGACTTTAGTGTTCAAATAATAACAAAATCACACTGTTTTCTCGGTTCAGTTTGGAGCGATTTTGATTCAGTTGGTTTGGTTTGATTCAGTTTGATTTTTTTTCTTGCCATCCCTAGTCTAAAGTAGAGATCTAATTTACAACATATAATTTCCTAAATGATATGAAATCATCCATATGTGATTTTATAAACATGACGTACATTAACAATACAATGCAGATATAATTGTTTGTATTAATTTAAAAATCACTGTAAAAGCTCAAAAGTTTCTTTCAAGAAGTAAAAATCTCATATATTACTTGTAACTTGAAAATATCTTAAATTATGATTTTTTTTTAAAAAAAGATTGATGTTTTAAATTCCTCAAGTATTTTCAATCGGAAAATTAAATACTCAAGTATTGCTCTTGCAGAATTATTCCCCAACTAATAGTTGACTGTGTGAAATTAGGAACGAAATAGTCAACCGTTAAAAAGTTGACGGAGACCAATATCTTTCCGTTAACTAGTTAACGGTTGACTATTTCGTTCCTAATTTTGCGCAGTCAACTATTAGTTGAAGAATAATTATGTGCAAGCAATACTTGAGTATTAAAACTGCCGATTTCAAATACTTGAGGAATTAAATGAGCATTTTCCCCTTATTAGTTATGGATTCATTGAATGGTTTACTTATAAAAATAATAATTTAATAAAAATATTTAATCTTATTTTAGGAATATTTTAAGGGATTGTGTATTTCATGAAGGAAAAGAATGATCAATATTTCTCCAGTGTCATATAGATTATGATTTCTTTCTTCCAGTCCGGCCATGTAGTTGTAGACTTGTAGTGGTAGTTTAGCTTGGTTTACTTAACCAAGTTTTGTAACAAACAGTCACTACACTAATCCAACATTTTCTTGTCTTTACACACTTTGCTTCACATACTTAGATATTTATTTACACTAATTAAACTTAAGCATCACTAGTCCCATTAATTTGATGACGATGATGAATTACTCGTACTTGGTCCTGGAGGCTCCGGTACATCGTTTCTTCTCCTCTTCCGACATGAACTGGTCGGAGCATCATACTTACCAGCATCCAAAGGAAAGTTTAGAACAGCTTTTCTTCCCCTGAGCTTAAAAGCTGCGTAGTCATAAGCTCTTGCAGCATCAATATCACTCTCGAAAGTGCCTAGCCACACCCTAGATCCTTTCTTGGCGGGATCTCGAATCTCTGCTGCAAATTTTCCCCATGGCCTCCTTCTCACGCCTCTGTAATGTCTCGCCTCTTCGACCCTCTTTGGTCTTTTCCAGTTTGAGACAGTTTCAACTTCAGGGGATGATGATGATTCTGCTTCCATTTGAGGAAACTCTCGGACATAGGAATCTTGATCAAGAACCGGTGACCTAGGCTCTAGTTTAGGAACTGGATTAAAGGGTTCCAGAGACAAGAGTCCTGAGACAAAAGCAGCATCATCAAAGACAAAATCTTCCATGAAACCATCAGGAATCATCAAGTCTTCAAAGAGTTGCTTCTGTATAAACTCCAAAGTAAAGCTTTCCTCAAAAGTTTCCATGTTTATATTTATTTTCTTTGAGAAAACTCTGCAAGTGATAATTTAAAGGAATTTTTCTTAATGGGTATATAAACAAAAAAATTCTAAACATGTGTTTGGCAGCTATGGGTGTGACGTGTCACACAAGTCTCTCTGGTTTACTCTGTGGGCAGTCTTATCCATCTATCATTTATGAAGACAAGTTAAGATCTTTTGTCAGGACTCATTCAAGTTGTGTCAACTTGATTTTGTCTCTGATGGTGACAAGTTCCACAAACATCTAACTTGAATCTTATAGAGTATATCCCTTGAGATACCCCAGGGATCAAATCATAAGTTTTGCTTAAAATGTGGTGGTTTTTAGCTTTTGATGATTGATTGCTATGTCTTAACTCCTAACTATCATTTCATTTGTTTTTTTTTCGATTGTTTCAAACACAGTTTATGTGTTTGTTTTCAGCATATTTACATTTTTTCTAAACATTTCTAGCTTTCATAGATTATTTTGTGAAATATGTAGGTATATTTTGTTTTAAAACCTATTTAATAAGATACCATTTAGCCTCCTTATTTTGTGAAAATCACTAAAGAGGCTATATGGTATATTTGTTTTCTCTAATTTGTTTTGAAATATGTAGGTATTTTTAAAAATCACTAAAGAGGCTAAATGGTATATATAGTATTTATCCAAAAATTCAATCTTTGTGTAGGGGTTAACTTACATATTTCAAAAAAATTAGAGAAAAATCATAATTTTGTTTTAATGCATAGCTGAATCATGTACTAGCAAATTATGAAGATTAAAGAGGTTTAAGACCTTAGGTGTTCATGTTTCTCCAAAAAATAGAGTTTTTATAGGGGTTAGTCCACTTCTTAGGTCGTATATGAAGTTTCAATAAATTATTCATTGGGAAATTAGAAACCATGCTCATATACCATGAAAATAAGTTTGGCAAACATATTTATAAATTTGGAATGTGGTTAGGTATTTTTAAAAATCACTAAAGAGGCTAAATGGTATATATAGTATTTATCTGAAAATTCAATCTTTTCGTAGGGGTTAACCTACATATTTTAAGAAAAACTAGAAAAATCATATTTTTGTTTTAATGCACATCTGCATCATGCACTAACATAGTATGAAGATTAAATAGGTTTGATACCTTAGGTGTTCCTATTTCTCCAAAAAATAGAGTTTTTATAGGGGTTAGTCCACTTATTATATAATATATAAAGTTTAAATACATTATTCATTTGGAAATTAGAAAAGATTCTCATATACCATGAAAATAAGTTTGGCATACATATATATAAGTTTGAAATGTGGTTAGATATTTTTAAAAAATCACTAAAGAGGATAAATGGTATATATAGTATTTATCTGAAAATTCAATCTTTTCGTATGGGTTAACCTACATATTTCAAGAAAAAATAGAAAAATCATCTTTTTGTTTTAATGCATAGCTGCATCATGTACTAGCATAGTATGAAGATTAAAGAGGTTTAAGACCTTAGGTGTTCATGTATCTCCAAAAACTAGAGTTTTAATAGGGGTTAATCTACTTCTTAGGTAGTATATAAAATTTAAATAAATTATTCACTGATAAATTAGAAAAGATGCTAATATACCATGAAAATAAGTTTGGCATACATATATATAATGGTTAGGTATTTTTAAAAACCAATAAAGAGGCTAAATTGTATAGATAGTATTTATCCGAAAATTCAACCTTTTTGAAGGGGTAAAACTACATATTTCTAGAAAAATTACAAAAAAAAAAAATTTTTGTTTTAATACAAAGCTGCATCTTGAATTAAGATAATATGAAGAATAAATAGGTTTGAAACCTTGGGTGTTCATGTTTCTCCAAAAATAGAGTTTTTATAGGGGTTAGTCCACTTTTTAGGTGGTATATAAAGTTCAAATAAATTATTCATTGGGAAATTAGAAAACATGCTTATATACCATGAAAATAAGTTTGGCAAACATATGTATAAATTTTGAATATGGTTAGGTATTTTTAAAAATCACTTAAGAGGCTAAATGGTATATATAGTATTTATCCAAAAATTCAATCTTTTCGTAGGGGTTAACCTACATATTTCAAGAAAAAATAGAAAAATCATATTTTTGTTTTAATGCATAGCTGCATCATTTACTAGCATAGTATGAAGATTAAAGAGGTTTAAGACCTTAGGTGTTCATGTATCTCCAAAAACTAGAGTTTTAATA